CATCCTGAAACACGCCAAGTATGCAAATAGGCACCAAGGTCCTAATGAGCTGGAGGCCTGGAAGGAGGAGATCGCCACATGATCAGGCCCCCCCCTCCAGGTCCTTCTCTCTCTCTCTGTCTCTCTCATGCACGTGCATGCACCATCATGAGTAAAATTTTAAAAATGAGAAATTTTATATCTTCAGTATTTACCTAACCATTAGAAAAATACTCCTTATAGAGAACAATGATCTGTCATTCTATAGCTTCTACCCATTTTGGCGGGTCTGTATACACTGGTAGTACAAACTCAGATTCTTCGATGTTTATGTACAAATGTGCAAAATCAATTTGGAATATGTTATGATATTAGTAGTAAGGTCTGAAGTGCTAATTTTGTATGAAGTCTTTTAGAAGGCCATAGTTTACAAACAGGTGTAGAAAATTACTATTAAACTTCTTATGGAGCAAAATAGGTATTTATAAACTGAGGACTGGTGAAGTCATTTCTAGTGTATGTGCCAGGTGTGGAGCAGGAAAAAATATTTTGCAGCTGAAACCTACTATTTAGATTATCCCAAAGACAGTCAGTTTATCTGATTTTAAATCTGGAACCTTTCAGTTCCATGCACTTTAAATAGGAAATTGACATTTCAAGGTAGGGCTGACAAAAATGTTCACCGAAGTCCACCATTCTAAGTAGGACATGATTCTTCCATATTCAGGACATTTTTATTTCAAATGCCAACTACAAAATGTCTGCTTGGACTTAGGAAAAAATGACCTTTTATAAGAAGAAGTCCTGTATAACTTGTTTTTTTCTGATAACGTTGAAGAAAGCAAATTTTTGCTAAGTTACTTCAAACTCTAGTTCATCAGTACACCAAAATTGCACTTGCACTGTGATAGAAAACAGTCACAGAACTGAGAGGTTTTAGAAAGTTAAGCACATAGGGACCAGCAGTTAGTGTAATGGCTATGTCGCTGAACTCCCACGTAGTTGACCGTGGTTCATGTCTCACACCCAATGGCTTAAAACTCACACCAGGCGTGTGTGCGTGCATGCCCAAGATCCCGAGAGAAGAATGGAGGAGAAGGGCCTGCAGTGTGGGCGGCTATGTCGCTGAACTCCCACGTAGTTGACCGTGGTTCACGTCTCACACCCAATGGCTTAAAACTCACACCAGTGCGTGCATGCCCAAGATCCCGAGAGAAGAATGGAGGAGAAGGGCCTGCAGTGTGGGCCATTCCCCCTGGGGGGTGATTTCTCGCTTTCTGTCTCTCTGTCTCTCTCTGTCTGGTGAGTGCACACACCCGATAGCAAAAATCTCTCCAAAAAAAAAAAAAAAGAAAGAAAGTTAAGCACGTATAATCTGATGGTCTTGTAACTGAATGAAGAATGCAATATAAAAATTAAGAAAATTCACATATAAAAGATGCAAACAATACAAAGGTGTATGAAGCTTAGCTAATATGTGAAAGTTTTATTCACTTAGTAAATTCCTTTCTTAGAAAAACTGCATGTGAAAATGAATTTCTGAATGAATCATATCTCATGCATTTTCCCATTCGATAATCAAATTTGTTCCGCTTATATAGACAAAATTGGCATTAAAATAAACTGTTTCAAAATAGCAAGACTCATAAAGCTCTGAAAAAAATAAAATTGCTCTAACTTAAATTGTACAGAAATGTAACTTATAGAAATTCTACTGTATAAATCTGAATTCTACTGCTGACATGTAGAACTACATCCAGTTCCAATATTTGCCCAATAATATCAACACTGGCTAAACAGCTAATGTTAAATCCAACAAAAATCTAATATTTGCCCATTTAGTTGGACTTAGTAATGTTACCACATATTTGGAATTTCAACAATGCAGGGTTTTGATAGAACTGATTAATAATTAAAAGATAAATGTCATAAATTATTTTATCATCTTTTTTTTTTTTTTTTTTACTTTTTATACTTTTTTTCTTCTTCTTTCCTCTTCTTCTCTTTTCTTTTCCTTTTTCTTTTAACTTCATACCTTGGCAGCTCAGTCTCCATGTCTAGGCAGGTCTAAGTGAACAGTATCCAAACATCTGATTACTATTAGAGTCAGAATATTCCTCAATTTCCACTGAATCTGACACACAAACAGTGAAAAATGGAACAGAAGAGAGATTGCAGATCACCTCCTCCAGCATGCCTGTGAATGCTCAGATTGAACTTCAAGAATTAGGAAGAAAGGGACCAGCAGTTAGCGTAATGCCTATGTCACTGGATTCCCATGTGGTTGACTGTGATTTGCGTCCCAGACCCGGTGGCTTAAAACTCACACCGGGCGCATGTGCGTGCATGCCCGTGCCCAAGATCCCGAGAGGAGAATGGAGGAGAGGGGATTGCGGCATGGCCATCCCCCATGGAGGGGTGATTTCTCGCTTTCTGTCTCTCTGTCTCTCTAGACCACTCGCCCATACACAAAAAAAAAAAAAAAAAAAAAAAAAAAAAAAAAAAAAAACTCTCCAAAACAAAAAAGAATTAGGAAGAAGCACCCAACCCATCTGATGACCAGAAATCACCACAGGGGTACATGAAATATGAGAAAGTAAGAAAATACCTCTTCTCCAAGGGAAAAGAATAGCTCCTCTTCACCCACAAACAGTACAATGGAACTCATGGAAATGGAAATGTCAGATAAAGGATTTAGAATATTCATAGTGACCGATCTAACAGAGATGCAAGAGAGACAATGAACTCCAGAAGACACAGGAGAAAAGAGCTGATGATTTCCAAGAGGTAAGGAAGTTCTTGAACAATCTGAAAGAGGACACACCTATCATTAAAATAATCAAACAAAGCTGTTAGAGATGAGGGCTGTAATACAGGAAATCAAAATCTCCCTTGAAAGTATTAAAAGCAGACTAGATCATACAGAGGATCGAATTTCATATGTAGAAGACAGAATCACTGGCCTAGAAAATTCCACCACAAAGACTGAGAAAATTGCCCAAAAAAATGAGAATAATATATGAGAAATACTAGATACCATTAAACATCCAAACATCCGGATAATTGGTATTCCAGAGGGTGAAGAGACTAATAAGAGCATTGATAACCTATTCCATGAAATCCTGAAAAAAAAAATTCCAAACTTAGAGAGGCATTCAAAGATTAGGTCCCAAGAAATACAAAGGATCCCAAATAAAATCAACCCAAGAATATCTTCTTCAAGACACATTATAACAAGATTGACCAAAACTACAGACAAAAAGACAAAATACTGAGATTGGCAAGAGAGAAACATCAAATTACCTACAAAGGATATCCCATCAGTCTAACAGCAGACCTCTCATCAGAAACAATGAAAGCAAGAAAAGAATGGGAAAATATATTCAAAAGTGTTAAGGGAAAAGCAATCTCAACCAAGAATACTGAACCCGGCAAGATTATCCTTCGTATGAGAAGAAAAGACAAGGACGTTCTCAGATAAACAAAACCTGCAAGAATTTACCAACACCAGACCAGCTCTCCAAGAAGTTTTGAAGGGAGTGCTATACCATGAAAACTAAATACAGACACACAGAAATAAGAGTTCAAAAACAACCAAGAAAATGGCCAACTCAATGATAGTGACAAGTCTGGAACTGAATGTTATGTTCCAGAAGTTAAATGGGAAGATCAGACCACACAGAAGATAAAGTACATGAGATTGAACTGGTGAAATAGAATCTTATGACTTTTGACCAAGACAGTACTGATTTTCTTCTACGCTTTGTTTTACACATTTAAGGATTTTTGTCTTGTCTTGAGCTATTGATAGGTTCAGCACCTACTATTTGAACAGAATTTTAACCTGTTTCTTGGCTTTAAGTTTTAAGCAAAGCTCTCAGCATATTTTAAATTTTGATTTACTAAAGCTAAAACTGCTTTTCTTGAAATTAGAAAATATTAAAAATGCCTATTTAATGATCACAATACACTATATAGCATCAGCTAGGTGCTATGTTATAGTATTTTCATTCTGTTCAGAGCTCTATGCCTAAAGTCAGACATATGTTTACAGATATGTATATATCAGCTGAACTTGCTGCTGAAAATAGTTAGATTAATTAAGATATTCTGTGAGTCAATAAAATATAGGGGGGAAAGGATTGGAAAGCAACTGTAGACACCAGAGACAGGAAATGGCAGGGGTGAGGACTAGGGGGGGGAAGATATATATATATTAAGAAGTGGAAAATTATTTGTCAGTGATAATATGATTGTCAGTGATATGTGGAAAATTATTTGTCAGTGATAATATGATTAATTGTCAGTGATAGTACAATTAAGCTGCTATGCAGTGTATTCTGGATGGGAAATCACATTTTGTATGCTGTGATGATGCTCAGTGAATAAATGTAAAATAAATTAATTAAATAAATAAAATAAACAAAAAAAGGTCAATGTCTAATAGATGTGCTAGGATTTAGCATTAGCTAGGTTTTGGAACTAATGTAACAATCATCTGTCTAATGTTCTTTTTTATACAAACATACCCTAAATTTAAGAATGTATGGGTATATACATATTATTAGATATATATTTGTATCTACATGTTTATTTAAAATGCAGTTACACAGAAAGGATGGTAATTAAAATATCTAGAATAGATGAATTAGCCTAATAATAACTCATGAATGTATTAAAAACAAGGTGTTTTGGAGCCAACAGGTGACACAGTGGTTAAGATGCTGGACTTCACATAGTTGACCATGGTTCAAGTCCAAGACCTGGCTACTTGAAACACACACCAGGCACATGTGCATGCATGCCCAAACTCCCAAGAAGAGAATGGAGGGGTGATTTTTTGCTCCTGTCTCTCTGTATTTCTCTGTCTCTCTGTCTCTCCAGTGAGCACATGCAACCTATAGCAAAAATCTCTCTCAGAAAAAAAAGGAGAAGAAAACAAAGTTGTTGTTGTTGTTGTTTTATGTAGGCTACATATAATTTATTGAAACTTTTAAGTGTTTCTCCACGTTTTTAAACAGGTTGTTTGGTATCAAGTCAGTAATTCAGACAGACTGTTCCAGCACTTGGAAGATTATAGTGAACCCGGACCTGTCGTGGCATCACCACGCCAATCCCATCCTCCTGCTGGTGATGTACTACACTCTGGCAACTTTGATCCGCATCTGGCTACAGGAGCCCCTTGTAAGGATAAAAAGGTTTTCATGATCTTGTCTGCAAGGTAGCCTGGAATCACCGGGTGAAATGATCCATTTGTACTCCCTTCTGACTAATTGATACTACATTCCAGTGTACCACTAGTGTTCTGACTAGTGTTTTAATTCTGCACAAAGTGTTCAGTACAAGTACTATCAGAATGAAATCTAGCTTCCCTGTGCTCTTATCTCTAGGTGCTGCTAAGAATGATAGGTGGTAAGAGAATAGAAAACTCAATTTTATTGAGCTCTTACTAAGTGCCAGACTGTTTACATTCTCTCATTTAACACACTAAATAGCTGAAGAATAGGTATTATCGTTATTTTAAAGGTGAGAAAAAGAGGTTGGAGAGAGAACATTTCCTGAAATCACACAGTGAACCTCAGATTCAGACTCATGTTTGGTAACATGAGTGTCTTAGAGACCACAGCAGCTGCAGTTCTCAGGCTTCTCCAGCCCTCTTAGCGGGAGGATGGTAGAGTGACTGCTCAGCTTCTGGTGCTGCCTCTGGCCTCCCAGGTCTCCCATTGCATGGGGTGAGCATGAGGAGGTTCCCTGCCTGCATGATTGAAGATGATTTATTCCCCATGAGAATTTAAGAAGGTTGTGGCCCTTTCAAATGGAGGATGTGAAGCCTGTTGGCATCTCTCTTCCCTCTTTCCAAGACAGGAAGCATCAATCTGCTTGTATTTCTCCGGAATGTCTGTAAGAAGCTCAGTTTTTGGTGTCTTGTCACGTAGGGGAAGGCAAGTTGTCTGTATAGATAAGGCTGTCTCACTTTTCCACTCACCACCTGTGGGGAAATGCCCACGAGTCAGAAACAGTTCCTGCGATGGGGCCGAGCCCGGCTCTGTGGTCTGATCCACCTCTTTATCACTTTTAGCCTGTGGCCCTGGAGCAGTTTTCTCTCTCTCTCTTTTCAAGTTTATTTATTTATTTTTCTTCCATGAAACAGAAAGAGAGAGAGAGAGAGACAAACACCCCCAAAAGGATCTTCACTCTGCAATTCACTCCCAGCCTCAGCCAGCAAAGACCATGGGCATGCCCCACGTGTGCCTTTTTATTGTTGGGAAACGTAGTAAAGCACCTAAGTGCATTTCATTCTTATACTCCCACTGTATTATCTCTCCAAATCAGTCGTCACATTTAGGTAAGTGTCTCATCAGCCAAGGCAGCAGTTTATGCGTTGGATATCCTCTTGGTTAATACCATGTGTGAGCTCTCCGTGATTCTGCCATTAAATGAGTGTCATAATAATTGCCAGTGGCCGGGTTTATAGTTAACTGTGCACTTTTTGAAAGCGCTTACTCTAGGAATCAGGTGCATGGTGCTTAATAGTGCAGTTCAGAATAAACACTGCAAAGCTTTGGCTATTTATCATGGCATATTCTGTAATGTATGGGGCTTAGCAGGAATCAGAAAATGTTTAATGTTGATGTGCTTATCAATGATGGGGCAGCCTTTTCATCATTTTTAAGTGTGCTAATAAAATGTCACATACTGTATGGGGGGGAGTCTTCAAAAAGCTCATGGAAAATGTGTATTATGAAAAAGTATGCATAGGTTTTTTTCACCAAAATAAACTTGCATTTTAATTCTATTTTCCCATGAACTCTTTGAAGTCCCTTTGTATACATTAAGCTCATGGAAAATGTGTATTATGAAAAAGTTGCATAGGTTTTTTTTCACCAAAATAAACTTGCATTTTAATTCTATTTTCCCATGAAGTCCCCTTATATACATTAATCTTGAAAAATAATCATATTGAAGCAAAGTCAAAAAGTTTTCTTTTGGCCACCCCAAGCTACTTAGCAAACTGCTTGGGGAAGCAGAAATGCTTCTGTGAATTATTCTGTGTTTCAGGTACAGGAAGAGAGGACCAAAGATGAGGACAGAGCCCTGGCTTGTAGCCCCATCCAGATAACAGCCGAGAGGAGGCGAAGCCTGTGGTATGCAACCCACTACCCAACCGACGAGAGAAAAGTAAGCCATGAAAAAGGAATTCACTCTTCTTAATTCATTCTCTATTTTTATATTTTATTGTTGAATATTAGATTTATGAAATTCAGGCTGCTCATAGTTTACAGAAATAGTTTGATTTTGAAGGCAGAGTACCAATGCTCTTTTCAAAGAGGAGAACCCCGTACTTCTAAAGGAAATACCATGATCCCATCACTCCCTGGAAGAATGCCATATATATTTTATATTTAGGGTCTTTTCTGTAGTCTTTTAATCCTAAAAAGAAAGAATGTTCTTAAATTTGTAAAGATAACTTTGTATTTAAAACAAAAAATAAGACTGTAATCTGTTGGCACTAGAGGACAGAAGTTTCAGTGCAGAAATACATTGTAGAAAATTGTTTCACTCGATTGGGTACCCAGCCACAACAGTAACTCAATAAGCACTCAGAGAAGAGCCTAGCAGTCTGTATGAACAGTCTCACCCTTTGGAGACAGCAGTGTATATTAATAAGAAGTGAATCACAACTGGAAAATTCATATAAGTCATACATGTCGTGTGTGTGGGTGTGTGTTTGTGTATAAAACAATCCATGGGGCCAGTATGTCACATGGTGGTTGGGACACTGGATTCCCATGTAGCCGACCACAGTTCAAGTCCCATACCTGGAGGCTTACTTTCTCACTTTCCCTCTCTCTCTCTGGTGAGTGCATGTGCCCTGAAACAAATTAATAATAATAATA